TTTGGGTAATAAAAAAGATATATGTACTTTTAAAAAAAGTTGTTTTAAAATTGAAATCAGAGGAAAACTCTTCAAGAAAATTTGGAGAAAAATCATAATATAAAATCTATTCTAATACTAACACTTCTAGTATTCTTTACCTGCATGCTTTGTATGTAGTATGTAGTTTAGAAGTAATTCTGTGCCTATATTTCCATGATTATCTCTCATATTAATATTTCACACTACTGAAACATTAAACCATATTTACAGTGCCAAGAATCCACAAAGTGGACAACTTATTCATCATTTTACATTTGTTGCACCTGTTATCATTGTTATTGTTTATTGTGAAAGAATTTCTGTCACTATCACATTACACTGAAAATCTTTTTTGCGTATTCTGAGTTACATATGTATTAAAGAATCACAAGAGTAGGACTTCTGATGCAAATAGAACATTCCAATGACTTTTGACACCTATGTTAAATTTCTTTCTAAAGAATTTTTAATCATAAATCTAATTACATATTTTTTCAAACACTCCCCAATAAAAAAACATTAACATAATGTTTCTTTCAGTTTTACTGTAATGTATAGTATCGCTTTGGTTTACCTACTTACTTTCTAATAAACATAAACTAAATCAAAATAAAACTCACTGCTATCAAGTTGCTTCCAACTCCCAGTGTCCCTATAGAGACTTGCTGAGACTATAAATCTTTAAGACAGCAGAAAGCCTCATCTCTCTACGCCAGAGCAGCTAGTGGATTTAAGTAGCCAAGTTTACAGTTAGCAGCATCTAATTCACAGTGTTACCAGCGCTCCTTTTCTAATAAATATTGTTATCCTAAATAACTTGCCTTTTAATATGACAGTATGCTATTATATTTCAAAATATTTTAGAGCACCAAGATAATATTTAAGGAGCTCTGGTATTTAAGTGAGTTACAAGTTGGACTGCTAACTGCAAGGTCGGCAGTTCAAATTAACCAGGTGCTCCATGGAAGAAAGATGAGACTTTCTGCTCTTGTAAAGATTGACAGCCTCAGAAACCCTATACAGGGTTGCTGTGAGCTAGAAACTGTTCAAGGTCACATAACCACAACCATCTCCAGATAATATTTACAATGTAAACATAAAGTCTAATAAAATTGAAACTTGTTAATTATTACAATCATAATTATCCATTTCATTTTTATTTGTTGTCATCGCTTGATAATATTCATCAGCTATTAATTATAAAAATCATGTGTTTATTTTCCCTTTTCCTGAGGAAAGAAACATCATCTTCACTCATAGCTGTTCCTAGAAAATAAAATCTGAAATAGGTCCAATTACTCATCCAAAACCACAGTATTTTTAATAATGAACTTGATCACTTGCCAAAATAATTTATACTTAGTGATAGCTATGGAGTCCTGGTGTAGCACAGTGGGTTAATGCTCTGGACGGCAAAGTTGGTTTGAAACACAAGATTGGCAGTTCAAGCACACCAGCTGCTCCTTGGATACCCTATCTAAGGTCCTTATGGGTTGGAAATGACTTGACAGCACTTAACAAAAACAACAACAAGTGGTAGCTATTTTGACTGCTAACCACAATGTTGACAATTCAAACCCACCAGTCAGTCTTTGGAAACTTTAAACTGTGTTGCCATGACTACTGGACAGCACTGAATAACAACAACAACTTAACAACAACAATTACATCTTGGATTTTACAAAACAATAATTAAATAAAGAAGTGAAATATATCTGGTTTTCAGATCTTAAAAGATGATGACTGTAGCATATAATTAACTCCATTTCCAAATGGCATGATAAGCTTTTATGATTAAGAAAATGGTCTGTGAAGCAAGACATTGTGTATAAATACTTTGTGAAATTGAACAATATACTTAACTCTTCAGCTTCTTCATCTGCAAAGTGAATGTACTGATTAGAATGTTACAGATGTGCTATTATTATTAAAATAAACAATGCATACCTACATAACAAGTTCTCAGAAATCACAACTATAATATGAAAGATTGGGTTATAACCCACCCCCCTTGAATTTAATTCTTCAGTTTACTTACTTTAACTAACTACACTCCATCAAGTAATCTAAGCTAGATGCTTTTATAATTAAGTCTGGTCATCCAATTTATATATATATATATTAAAAAGCATGGTGAATATAGAAAACAGACAATAGGAGACCATTTCTTAAGATGATCTCTATCAGTGAATATGATTTATATGTAAATTAGCTATTATGGTCTCAAATATTCACCAAAGCACTCAGTTAATTTCACAAAGCACAGCTATATAGAGACAAGAATAAAGATTTATATTCTTATATGCTTGACCCCATCTTCTATATATGCTTTTAATATATGCATTATAAAAATTAAAGAAACATACTTTTTATTGCAACAGTGTAGTTCCAAGGGTACAAAAGAACCTGCATCATTTGAAAAGTTTTTCCTAACCAAAAATACTGGAAAGTGAATTTTGAGTATGTTGTTAGTTTGTGTGGAGCTGATTTCAACTCATGGAAATCTTATATGGACCAGAGTAGAACTGTGCTCCATAGAATTTTCAAGGATAAAATTTTTCAAAAAGACCTCTGGTGGCTCCATGGTTAAGTGCTCAGCTGTTGACCAAAACATCAGCAGTTTGAACTTAATAATTATTGTTTGAAAAAAAATGTGTCAGTCTGCTTCTGTAAATATTTACAGTTTTGAAAATTTTATGGGCAGTTCTATTCTGTTTTTTTAGGGTCACAATGAGTCAGAGCTTGAAACAATGTCAGTATGTTTGTATCTTATTATTATTATTTTTTAATCATTCAAAAGCAGATCACCAGGTCTGTCTTCTGAAATATTTCTGAGACCCTTCAAACTACCAATATTTCAGCTAATATTTAAGCATTTAGCCATTTGTGACACAAAGGGACAACTTTTAGAGTGTTACATAAATTTAAAAGTTTTGGGTACTTTTAAATTTAATCATACTTTGTAAGCAGCATATGTAGTCTTCAAAAAAAATGTTTTTAAGAATTACTAAATAAAATTTGGAGCGCTGATGTGGCACTGTTGCATAAGCACTGACTGCTAACCAAAAAGTTGGCAGTTCAAACTCACCAGCTGATCACTAAAATCGTATACAGGGTCACAATGAGTTGGAACAGACTTGACAGCACTTAACAACAATAATAGCTAAAATTTAGTTTAAATTGTTTAATTCTGAACATTATATTGTTATGATTCAATTTACTCACTTTATAATTTGAATTTTAAATAAATACTTAGGTAATTCTGGTATAGTGCTGTAGGATCTGCACTGGACTGCAAAACACAAAGCCATGGTTCAAACCCAACGGCTGCTGCTTAGAAACCCTATACAGGGTCGTTATGAGTTGGGGTTGACTCCAATGGCACTTAACAACAACAAGATAAGCAGTGCTATCTCCATATCAGCATTGGTTCACCTAAAATGTGTAATATGTATAAACAATGAAATCTAAGAAAAACATTTTTTCATTAAAACTCTTATATGAATACTTAAATCTGAAATGAATACCTAAGAAGAACTTGAAAATGGTAATTAAATTGGCTGAAATATGGGTGAAAGGAGGAGAAGAGAACAAGAGTGCTGAGTTCCATTTATTTTGAATGCACTTTTGTGTGTGACTTGGATTTCGAAGGAACTTGTGAAGCATTAACTTCAATTACACTGAAAACCCCAAACAGAACCCAGACATTGTAAATCTCATTAATTTTAAACATATGGAAGCTAGAATAAATGGGTTTTGAATCAATTCAATCCAAATTACTTAATATTAAAGCATAATTGGAATTTAGTTGCTTTAAATTGCTTGCCATGTTGAAAGATAGAATAGATTACTCCACTCAAGTTATTTCCATTTTACCTACTTTTGAAGCTTCAGACTGATAAATTTATAAAGCAGTTATTCTAACAAGGAAAACTATGATAATTCAGTGCTGCTTCCCTTTGTTTTCTTAAATATTTTTAGAACTTTTTTTTTTTTTATCAAATTTCAACTCTTTGAAAGGGAAATTTTACTTTAGTAGGTTTAACTATTTAAAATTCTAAACACACAAGGATCAACCATTAAATATAGCTGATAATATATTATTTGTAATAATATGAAAATTTCTCTGTTTATGGGAGTTTTACAATAATCATTTCTATAGTGATAAGGTGGCATGATTTGATTTTAATGTCAGCCTAATGATTAGAATGAAAATACATTGATAGTAAGTATGTTGATAAATAATAGTAAGAATGAATGTTATGTTGCTAAAATGAGAACAAACAGCCCTAAAGAAAAGATAAATTATTTTGAAATATCTAGTATGCTTTGGATGTCTGACATCATCTCCTGTTCACTTGTAAAGCGTGGAGTTACAGTACAAAAACATGATTGTAAAGATTTTTGGGTTGTTTGAGTCATCAGGGATTATAACAATTGATTATCTTTCATACAACATCTAGGTGTTTGGGAACTACTTTTCATCAGAGCTCCTATCAGTAACATTCTCACTTTAGGTAATGAAATGGTAAACCTAAGGAAGAATGGCAAGCACTCGATGTTCCTCCAAATTTCATTTACAAAAAACTATAAAGGATAGATAAAATACAATTTGAACCAATCTGCCTTGATGATCTGTAATACACAATGTTGTTGTTAGCTGCTACCAAGTCAGTCCCTGACACATGGGAACCCCATAGAAAACATAATTGGACCTTTGGGAACAACAAGATTTTCATTGTCTAATTTTTAGAAATAGATTGCCAAGCTTTTCTGTTTAGACTGCTTTGATCTAGCAGCTCCACTGAAACATCATCAGCATCATTGCTGTTCATAAGCCTCTACTAACACATGGATGGGGTATAAGTTTGAGATGCACTGGCTTGAAACCAAACCCAGTTCTCCAGAATGGAAAGGGAGAATCTTGCCACTGAACATCCAAGCCCTCAATATACACATAAACATGTGAATATTCATACCTGAGAAGAAATGTGCTTTGAAGCCCTTCTTGGATACAGTGTTATCGGATTTGAATTCAATTCTCATGTTATTGAAGTGGGATGTGATCACTTCAGGCACTTCAGCACCACAGAATTTGCCATGTAATTTAGATTCGGAGGAAAGGCCACTCCAGATCTCTACATAATCATATTTGCAAACCTATAAAAGAAATGGTTATTATAATCATCAGTTTTGAGAATGCTAGATGATCGACATTTATTTTCACCGAAGGAATCATGTTTTTTCCTTCGTCTGTGGTTATCAAACAGGATTTGACAGGTAACAACAACAATAAAATCATTAAGAGGCAGAAACATGAAAAACAAACTAGAGAAAAATTTTTCTCTGACTACCTCTAAGAGTAGGGTCCTTGGTGTGGCACTGTAGGATAAGCACTGGACTGCGAACCACAAGGTTGGTGATTTAAACCCACCAGCCACTCTTCAGAAACTTTATACAGGGTCACTAAGAGTCAGAACAGACTCCATGGCACTCAACAATAACATCTCTAAGAGGTGTGTATGCAAATGCAAACTTTTTTGCATGTATTGATATCATGTATTTTTCTTAAAAAATACAAAGCTATAACAAACAGAGATACGTATTTGTTGAGGTGATGGTGCTGATTGTCACAGGAAAACAACAGTTACTTTCTGTTTTCTTCTTTTTAATTTGTACATTTTTACTGTTGCTGTTGTCAAGTGCCATTGAGTCAATTCCAACTCATAAGACCCTGTAAAGGGTTTCTGTGGAGTGGCTGGTGGGTCTGAGCTGCCAACCTTGCGGTTAGCAGTCCAATGCTTATCTATCCTACAATGTCACACTAGGACTGTGAAAATACTCTTAAGGTACTGTTTTAATTAATGCTTACAATAATTACATAAAATTAGTACATTTAGTCCATGAAACAACTTTAAACAGTGCAACAATTCTCTCCATTGTAGAGAAAAAAACAAAAACTGAATTCCAAAAATGCTTATGTATTTTATCAAAAATTAAATTTTTCATGTATGAAAAGGCAATGATTGGCAACACTGAAGTGTCCCATAGACCAGTGCTTTCTCTCACAGACACTTATTCAACACAGAAAGGCACCATTAGTAACTTTCAAAGTGAAAGGCAGGCATCAGGTAGATTATAAAAAACATCATTCGTCTTTCAAATTTATTAAAAAGACTGATCTTATTTCAATTGGTAGGTAATGTGAAGTTATTCTGTAGGATTGCTGAATGCAAACAAATACATTCTGTATTTAGTGCAATGAGTTGAGTTTATATCAAATTGATATAGACTCATTCTGACTTATATGTAATGTACCAACAGCACCAAAATGAAGAAACTAATCGAATCTCAGTATTCCTAAACAATTTTATGACCACCAGTACTTGTTTCCATATCACATTTTTTAGATTTCCTAAAGAGGACATGTTAAAGAACACATCTTGCATGAATAACTTTATTACTTAAGTATGTAATTAGCAAGTTTAACAAAGCATTTGATTGACCCTTGAGGCTTGATCTGTATTTTACAACATGTCAACTCTAATTAATGGGTTTTTTTTTTGGTGATATTAATTAGGTGATAAATAAGTAAAATATATTAGGGAAAATGAAACAATTTTTCTATTTACTTTGTTATAATTGCAATTTTTATTTAGAAAGGACTTTAACATAACACTGAAGAGTGCCCCAAAGCTAAGTTGTCTTTCATTTTGGTTATCAATAGAATTTAACAGTTTAAACCTTAACTAAGCATTATGTAAGTCAAGTTCTTGCTAAGGAATTTTATTTTAAGCAACTATATAGCAGTGTGAATTGACAATAAACTGCTTTAACTCTTCAGGCTGCCTTCTATACTCCATCTTGAAAGCCAGAGTATAAAGTAACTCACTAAAAATATGTGAACTCTTTGCTATTTCATATTTGCAATGAACTCCTTCAGAAAGAACATATCAGAGTTTGTTCATTTGTTATAGGAGTAGTTTCATCTAATCTCACTGATCTCTTGTTGAAAAACCCATATTTGTGTGCTTAAAATTCATCTTTTTATATTTTCTCAGAGTATGTGTCTTACATTACATACACTAAGAATGAAATCCTCACCACAGATAAGTACTTACTGTCAAGAAATCTGCCTGTTCAAGTCTACTCCCAGTTTAATCCTTAGATGTAAGACTCAAGTCATTATAAATAGATGTAGACTATCCTGCCTTAAGAATGAATGTTCTACACAAAATACTAGATAAATTATCTAAGGTAGTGACGTCAGCTTTTTGTCAATTGTCAGTTCTTAAATCATCTACATTTATTTAGGAGTCCTGATGTGGTGCTACAGGATAAGCACTGAACTGTTTGCTAACAACAAGGTTAGTGGTTCAAACCCATCAGTCACTCCTTGGAAACCTTATACAGGGTCGCTGTGAGTCAGGACTGACTCAATAGCATTCAATGATAACAACAGTGAAGTATTTATTTAAACTGTATTGAATGGTTTGCTCTGTGGAAAATAAATATCTTTCAGAAAACTACATTTTTAACTTTTCCATAAGCTAATTTTGATTCATTTATCTACTTAAGCACACTCTGTTCATGGAAAAAATAAACCTTGCAATCATTTACCTGAGGAAAATGATGCAGTTAACCTAATTTATGCTTTTGATTATTTTGTTTCCACAGTAGAAAGGCTTTTCAGATTTCTCTATTTAGGAAGCACTTGTTTTAAGACACATGACAGAAGAAAATAATATACGATCATAATGAAAAATAGAATTGGTTCAGGTTAAAAAATGAGATTTAGAATGAAACACAAAGGCTATATCAGTGAGTGAGTTTGTTCAGTAAATCATATCCTCAAAATCAAGATTTTAAAAAAGTATTTGGTACAATTTGCTTAGAAATTAGATAGATAGATAGATAGATAGATAGATAGATAGATAGATAGATAGATAGATAGACAGATAGATAGATAGATAGATAGATGTGGTGGGGTATAATTTTTCTAATTCATTCAGATATACAAAAGTTAAAGCTTAGCTACTAACAAATGCAAGCGATATCCATTAAGACCTTCTTGGCATTCGAATAGTCAGGAGCATCCCATCTGTGCTTGTCCAGAATCCAAAATATCAGCACACAAATGATATTATTATTCTGTATTTGTATTTAATTTAATTTGCATCATTTGAAGTTTAAAATAATGTAAAGGATCCTAGTAGAAATAGTGGCTTAAGACCACTTATAGCAACAAGGAATCCTGGTAGTGTAATAGGTTATGAATTGGGCTGCAAACTGTTAGGACAGCTGTTTGAATCTACTAGCATTTCTTTGGGAGAAAGATGAAGATTTCTGCTCTAGTAATGATTTGCAGCCTTGGAAATCCCATACAGGGTCGCTATGAGTCATAACCAACTCGACAAACAGCACACAATCACCACCACCACCAAGACATCAAACTATGAAAATACACTAAATTCTATAACACCAAAACATAGTAACACAACTACAACTGAAAAAAATTGTGAATATGTTACATATTTTATAAAGGGTTTTCTGTGAGGACTACTACTATGAGAATAATTCATTCAGAACATAACTCTCTCTAGATGCAAATCCACCTATTCTCCTTCCTGAACACAAACTTCTAGCCTTCTTAAGAACATCTATCAATGAATGAATCAAAATGTCATTCCTGCCAAAACTAATAACTTCAGGGAAAACTGGGCAAGTATATATCATTCAACACAAAGCTCATATCAAATCATAGACTCGGACAGAAAATTTTCGTTTCCAAAAAGTAAAACTCTTAGGAAGTTTTTCTCAAAAGTAATGTGCAAATTATCTTCTTCATTTTAACCTTTCCTCCTAGTAGAAATAATTACTAAACAGAAAATTGCATTTTATGTGGATAAAAGATTCAAAGCTTTAGCCACATCAAGTTTTCTGTCATAAAACTTACACACAATATCAAGATGATTTAAAAAATCCCACTTAGCTCAAAGATTCTACATTCTATGAGATAAATTTGTCAAATTTCCCACTCTAATTTACTTTAAGGAAACACAAAAACCTAGATGATTTGGCTACCAAAGGCAGAAACAAAATAAGAAATGAAAGTAATTAAAATAGAAGGTAAAAAAGAATGAAAGGTAAATAAATGAGGATGAAGTTATAGTACATAATCTACAAACATTACCAACAATATTTCCCTCGGGACACAGATTTATTTCTGTTCTCTCACTTTTGTGCAAGTTTTCAAAAAATACAGCAAAGCACCAAAGATTACATAATTTTGCGTTAATTGATGGGGTGCTATAGGATCAGCACAGGACTGCTAACCACAAGGTCAGCAGTTCAAACCCACCAGCTGCTCCTCAGAAACCCTACAGGGTAGCTATGAGCTAGAACCTACTCCATGGCACTTAACAACAACAACAAATCATATTTGAGAGTTTTGAATAATTTTAATTTCAAAATAAAAATAGAGGTGGTGGGAGAGAATAGACAGCTAAGAGAGCACTCCTATCTCAGAGGTCTGATGGATAAGCAGAGATAATGGTAAAAGATGTGAAACTAAAAGGGAGGAGAAGTTAATCTTTCATTCCAGGAACACAGGACCATATAGCGTCAATCAAGAGGGAAGATCATGAGCAGATCCTGGGTTCCTAACCAGGGAAGCAACGATAACAGAGATGGAAGCAGAGGTGATGATGTCAAAGAGAGAAAGAGCTGCTGAGGACTCTTTAGTACATCGAAGGGATTGTAATTATTACAATGAAACAAAATATGGCTGGTTGAGTGCAAAACTGATGATCTTCCCTGTAAACACTCAATTTATAATAAAAGCTTAAAAAAAAAAATAGAGGGAAGAACATGAGTGGAGCAATGGAATCCTAACCATGAAAGCAACAACAGCAGAGACAGTGGCAGAAGCAATGGCAAAGAGAGATAGAGCAGCTGAGGACTCTAGGCCCATGGACTGGGAAAGGCTGTGTGCCTGTGCACAAGGAGGCTGGCTTGCAAAGTGTGCCCTTTGGACATTTAAACGAATATGTATTTTCTGTTTTGTATGTGTACATTTAAAAAAAAAAAAAGGGAAGAGAGGTAAATACTGTTGACTGATGGCACATAGAGGGGATTATAATCATTGCAATGAAACAAAATATGATTTATTAAATGTAAAACTGATAATTTGCCTGTAAACTTTCACTCAAGTCACAATAAAAATTTAGAAAAAAAAATCTAGAAAAATAAATTTCTGGAAGAAAGGATAGAAGAGGAATTTGAATAAAGAAAAGAAGAAGAAAAGCTTCAACAAAACAAATCCTTGTAACCTTTTTTCTGGAATTAAACCAATCTTGACCACACAAAGGACATATTCCCAAGTATTCATATTTCTAGAGTTGGCATTCCATTTCAACGAGGTATGTGTGCACTAGCACATAGACATTTTCAAAGAAATGATTTCACTTGTTTAAAAGTAGTCACCTGACAGAAAACTGTAATATTTCATGAAGGATTGTTACATGTAAATGCATTATTCTTGAAGTAAAGCAAATCAATCTTTCTTTTTTATGAACCATAAACAGATTCATAATAATGAACTACTTATATAATGAAAATATACCATTTCCATTAAGTAAAATACACCAGATTTATCTACATGGATATTTTTTGCTATGACTCAACCGGCGCATTTTGGTTTATTTTTCCTATGAAAGCTCATGTGACATGAAGATCACCCTAAATATTTCACACTTCTTTAATAAATCAAGAAATGGTGTATATTAAACACAGTGATAAAAACTCCTTCTGGGATATTTCCCGGCTCCCAGAAACAGTTCAAAATATTACCCAATCTCAACAAAATATCATAAACAGTTACAGATATAAAAAGAAGACAGAAAAAAGAATATAGTACCCTATATTATTACAATACTAAAATGCATTCACTTTTGTTTGTTTTTCGTTTGCCTCTGGAATTACCAAGATGCCACAGGGAAAATTACATTCATTGATCACTTACTTCATTGCCTTCCAATTCAAAAGACTCAAACTTCATGGAAATCCTGTACTGGGTTGGGGCAACGACTTGCCATACACAGTTTTTATTAGGAGGGTACTCCTTAGGCCAGCCTGGGGTGGTTATGGTGCCATTAAGTTTGGTAAGAAGTCCTCCACAAGCCGCTAAAAGAAAAGGAAAGGAAAAAGTGTTCCATTATTAATACAATCACACCTATTTAGTACACTTCCTTTGATTTCCAAACAGCTCAGCATTAAATTAAAACCAGCTTCTGGAATTGCAATGGTAGAAAGAAGATGCAATCTCTGGGTTTTGTTACATAGTTCCTTTTCCTTTAGCTCAACTCTTTTAATCATTTAATTTATAAAGGTTTACTAGTGTGTAGGTTTTCTAACAAGCATATTATGGCTAGACTATACATTTTTAGATTATTTTAAAGTCAGACAAAAAAAAATTGGGCCTCGTTTTATATTTTAATGGCTATATAACAGCTACACTTTAGGATTATTGTACAAATCAATGAAAATATATACAGAAAGTACTGTTGAGGCACTGTAGGATAAGCATTTGACTGCAAGGTCAATTTGAATCACAAGGTCGGTGGTTCAAACTCACCAGCCACTATGGGTCAGAACAGACTCAACACTTAGCACTTAACAACAGTTCAGGTAATAAAGGCTTGATTGTCTTTAAGTAAAGAATTAAGTAAATAACTAATTGATTTTATGTTTACCATATCAGACTGTATTGTTGTTGTTGTTAAATGCCATCTAGTCAGTTCTGACTCATAGTGACTTGTATAGAGTTTCTGAGGAGTGGCTGGTGAGCTTGAATTGCTGACCTTGTCATTCAAACCAACTTTGCATTTGAGTGCATTAACCCACAATGCCACACCAGGACTGAGCTAGCAGGTGATATACACTATGAAAATATAACATATTTGCTATTTCAAAAGTACACTCAAACAACTAGTTTGATTTTTCCTTCCTTTTCAATATAATCTACCTAAAGAGGTACTATTGTGGTTCCATTCTTATATAGTTGTTGTTATTTAGTGTAGGCGAGTCCATTCTTACAGGTGATGTTAATTAATGGTGAAGTTAGCAAATAAGAGAACCCAAAACCAATAAAGCAAAAATAATGTTAAACCATTTTCAATTAAAAATTCCTAGGAAGTAGGATAAGCACTGGACTATTAACTGCATGGCTGTCAGTTTAAACCCACCAGCTACTCTTCAGGAGAAAGTTGAGGCTTTCTGCTCTTTTTACAGCTTTGGAAACATTGTACAGGGTCTCTGTGAGTCAGAACCCAGTCAATAGCAGTGGATTTATGGGAGTCAGTTACCTAAAGTAGCTGGGATTTTTATTTTATTTGTATAATTATATGAATATTATGTGTTCATATACATGATATAATCTATTTATAAACATATAAAAACACTTTTGTACTTAAATTTTGGGGAAAATTAAAATGCAGTAAAAATAATTGTTTCTAGATGTCATATAGACATAATGGCCTGGTGTGATGCTGTGATTTTTGTTTTCTTTACCCTGAGGTACAATCCATACTAAAGACTGCAATTGTCATCAGCAAGTATGCTAAATGCTCTTCACTTTCAGCAATCAATCTTGTCATCTGCATATCACAGCTGGGCTGCCAAGTTGGTTTGAATTGCAAGGTCAGGGTTCAAGCTCACCAGCTGCTCCTTGGAAACCCTATACAGGGTCACTATGGGTCAAAACCAATTCAACAGCACTTAACAACAACAACAATAATATCAATCTAGTAATTGTGTAGCATACAATGTTCTTTACTTTAAAAAATACTTAATTTTTTCATAATTATTTTACTCTAGCATGGGGGAATTGGTAGTTTAATAGGACTTTTGAAACTGAAGCAAAGAAATTCTACTTTTAAGAAGAAACAGGGAATTATTGTTTATAAAAGTATGTCATCAATTGGTGTGTCTAATCAAATACTTTCCCCACTTTTGCTGTCTATTGTGGTCTATTCTATAGACAGCAGAGAACATGCTGCTAATTTTCAAGGAGTTTTCTTTTTAACAAGGGATAAATTAGTATATACAAAATTATAAATAGTTTAAATTGTTACAAGTTCTATAAAGATGAATTTAACAAAAATTTTAGGAGAAGAATAGGGAGGAATAGGCTGGGCACATGAAGATAAGTTATTTTGTTTACTTCATCATTTTAGACATAAGCTGATATTAGGGTAAATGCAGGGAAAATGGGAAAAAAAGCCAACATTAAATTCTGAAGGAAGAGATTATAGGGCATAGTAGCAAAATAGTGTGATAAAGTCTCATAATGTAAACAGGAAATACAGCTAAACATGACAAAACACCTTTGTTTAGTGACTTTATTAATACAATATATAGGTAACAACTGCTTTTTCTCTGACCATGCTAGACACTAGAAATAAAAGATGATTGAAATTCATTTCCATTCACTTAAATAAAGATGAGTCATAAACTGGGATGATATAAAAACAGATGGCGAATGTAAGTAGAGAACTAGATTCCAAAAGAGATAGAAATAGATATAACCCCCCAAATTTAAACCTATTGCTGTACAGAGGATTCCAATTCATAGGGACCCTGTAAGAGACAATATAACTGTTCCATAGGGTTACAAATCAGGCTGTGAACCTCAAAGTCAGTGGTTGGAAACTACCAACTGTTCCATGAGAGAAAGATGAGGCTTTCTGTTCCTGTAAAGGTTTACAGCCTCAGAAACCCTGTACAGGGTCACTGTGAGTCGGAACCACTACCACCACCATATATGTACAGAAGTACATTGCCGCTCTCTCTTGGAGTGGCTGGTGGGTTTGAACTGCCCACCTTTCAGTAGCAGCCCAACACTAAACCCATTTACCACCACATATAAAAAGCAAAGCAAAACAATAAAAGATGGTTTGGACTTACAGAGACCCTTTATAGGGTTTTCAAGATGATAAATCTTTAAAGGAGCAAATAATTTCATATTTCTTCTGCAGAATAACTTGTAAATTTGAACTCCAGACCTTGTGGCTAGCAGTTCAGTGCTTATATTACAACACCATCAGAGATCTTTAGCACCACATATGGTTACTGTGGCTAGGTGCCCTCCTGTCATTTCCAACTCAGAAGGACCCTATGCAGAACAGAATGAAACACTGCCTGGTCCTCTGGCATCCTCACAAATGATTGTTGTTATGTTGGAGCCCATTGTTGCTGCCACTGTGTCAGCCCATCTCATTGGGGTCTTCCTCTTTTTTGCTGCCCCAACACTTAACCAAAGGTGCTCTGGTAGTGTAGTAGTTACGAATCGGGCTGTGAACTGCAAGGTAAGCATTTCGAAACTATCAGCTGCTCTGCGGGAGAAAGATGAGGCTTTCTGCTTCTGTAAAGATTTACAGCCTCAGAAACCCTGTTCAGGGTCACTATGGGTCGGAACCGATTCGACAGCACTTAACAACAACAACAACATTAACCAAGCATCATGTCCTTTTCAGATACTGATCCCCCTTGGGAACATGTATAAAGTACCAAAGACAGAAAAATTTCACCATCCTTGCTTCTAAAGAGCATTCTGGTTATACATCTTCAAAGACAGATTTGTTTGTTTATTATTCTGGCAGTCCATGGTACTTTCAATATTCTTGAGCTACACCATCATTCAAATGTATCGAATCTTCTCTGTATTTCCTTATTCATTGTCCAACTTACATATGTACATGTGGCGAGTGAAAATAACATGCCCCTTAAGCCTCAAATTATCATCCCTGTTCTTTAATACTTTCAAAAGGCCTTTTGTAGCACATTTGCCTAATGCAATACATCGCTTGAATTTTTGCTTCCATAATTATGGATTGTGGATTCAAGCAAAATAGTTTTTGACATTTTCAATCTTTTCTCTGTTTACCATGATGTTATTTATTGGTCCAGTTGTGAAGATTTTTGTTTTCTTTACATTGAGGTGCAATCCATACTAAAGACTGCAATTGCCATCAGCAAGTATTCTAAGGGCTCTTCACTTCCAGCAAGCAATCTTGTGTCCTCTACATTCACAGATTGTTAATGTGTCTTCCTCCAATCCTGAAGCCACATCCTTCTTCATACACTCTAGCTTCTCGGGTTATTAACTCAGCATAGAGATTGAATTGTTGTTGTTGTTAGGTGCCATTGAGTCAGTACGGACTCATAAAGACCTTATGCACAGCAGAATGAAACACTGCCCAATCCTGGGCCTTACAGATTGAATAAGTATGTTGAAATAATACAACCCTGGCACACACCTTTCCTAATTTTAAATAATTTAGTAGCTCTTGTTCTGTTCCAGTGAAAGTATACCAAAAAGTTTTGTAACAAAAAGGGGGGAGTAGTTAATCTTACAATTCAGGACCCTAGGACCATCAAGAGAGAAGAGCACAAGCGGAATGTGGGACCCTATCCAGAGAAGCAGTGACACGAGAGATGGAGGCAGAGATGATGACATGGAGAGAGGGAGCAGCTGAGGACTCTAGACTCATGGCAAGAGAAAGGCTGTGTGCTGATAGCCAGGAGGCAGGCATGCAGAATGTGCCCTTTGGTTGTTTAAATGATTATTCCTGAGTGTTTTTGTACATCCCCT